AACTCCAAAAAATCAGTCGCCCTCTTATACACAAAGGATATGGAAGCAGAGAGGGAATTCAGAGAAGCTTCACCTTTCACAATAGCCACAAACAGCATAAAATATCTCGGGGTAACTTTAACCAAGGAAGTGAAAGATCTATTTGACAAGAACTTTAAGGCATTGAAGAAAGAAATTGAAGAGGATAGCAGCTAGTGCTTTTAACAACTGCGCTATCTCCTAAGTACCTCGATTTTCTTCTTAAAGCTTATGTTAAAATATTCTTGGTTCTTAGTATTTCTATAAATATTTTCTATTAATTTTATTGTTGCTTCTTGATTTTCAGCTTACTTGCACTGTGGTTAAAAAATGCTCTATTTGACTTGAGTCCTTTCAGAGAACAGATCTGCTTAGTGTATCTTATTGCATGTGATCAATTTTTAAATGTTTTCTTCAAAAGAATGTTTGTAAAAAATCATTTAAAATCTGTTATATATGTTAGTAGAAACATATGATGAAATCCAGGCAGTGAACTACAGAATTATCTATAGGGCAAAGAAAAATGCCAAAAATTTGCCTGTCTGTCTTAAGAGCAATTCTTGGCTCATTCCTTACATACATCATATACTTACAGTTCTATAAGTGTATGCTGGTTAAGGCATATGTTTTAGTTTCGTTTGTGACAAAGTATTTCTAACCTATTCCTTCAGTGTATCAGCTATTGGCTTATAGAAACACTTGCTTTCAGGATCTGTCAGAGCATCTTTTGGAGATCAAAAGGCAGAACTCTGCAGTTCATTGTACCATGGACCCAGCTATGATGTGTATAATCCGTGCTATATGTATCAGCACTGTTCACCTGATTTAAATAGGCGCTTTCCTTCTCATTTTGAAACCAAAAAAATGTATGGCTCTGGTAAGAAAACATTTTTGTGCTTTTCCTCTGGGCTTATCGTTAACAAATTTAGAGATTTAATCTAAGACTCTAGCAGAAATAGTTATTAAGAACAGTTTTAAAATAAGAGCAAAGCAGACTTTATGAGTGTGTGATACGTGTTATGACTTCTCTCTGTTGTTACAATTAGTATAAAAATTTACAGATAATGGTGGCTGCCAATTCCACTTCATTTTTTTCTTTTAGAAAAAATTTTATTATAGATTATTTTACATATATTTTATTATATACTTAATAAATTTTACTATAGATATTTATAGTATTTTCTTTTTCTGTTCCAGTCAGCTAAATGAATTTAAGAGCTCATGATTGGAGGTAGACACAAATAATAGAAAATAACTAGATTTTTTTAGTTTGATATTTAGGACTATCAATTATATGAACTACCATGTTCAAAATATTCTCAGATTTTACAGGTCTATCTGTACACATATATCAGCATCACTGAAACCAAAAAAATATTTTCTTGAGGGCTGCTCTGTACTTAGCATTGTGCTAGAACACACACTTGTGTGCAGAGCTCCTTTTTAGAAAGATCTTACAGTTTGGGAGGAGAACTAGAAATAGAAATATAAGAGCACATGGGATTCAGGATTGAAATGTTATAATTTTATATGTGTCTATTAAATAGTAGTTGAATTACACTTATCAAAGAGTACTAGTATTGTATTAAATTATATTTTCTGGATGAAGGACACAAAAACCTGCTTAAAACATTATGTGGATATGAAAATGTATTATTTGATTGCTACAGTCTTCTGTTTTAAAGATGAAAATAATTTATAATTGAACTTTTAAAGATTTTATCAAAATTTCTGTATATAAATTTGTATACAATATACATGATGAATTCCTATGGAGATTTGACTTATGACAATTAGGTAGAATGCCACTGTTTCATTTTTATTAATAAAAAGTACTTTACTCTTGTCCCTTTGTAGTTTGTGATTTAAGGACCAGTAAACGTCCTGTTTCCCCTGGGCTAAGCAAATCCATGTTTGATCTTACAACTCCACCTCAGCGATTCATCCAGGTAGATAATATTATATAACCATATAAATTTCTTTATATGTGAACCTTTCACATAAATATATCAAAACTGTATGAATTACATTAGGAATCACATGTTTTATTTTTTACTTTTTTCCATATTGTTATTGATATTTATTGAGCTCTGCATTTTCTCTGCTCCCCTCCCCTCCCTGCCCACTTCAATCTTCCCCCCAAGGTCCCCATGCTCCCAATTTACTCAGGAGATCTTGTCTTTTTCTACTTTCTACTTCCCATGTAGATTAGATCTATGTAAGTCTCTCTTAGTGTCTGCATTGTTGTCTAAGTTCTCTGAATTGTGGTTTGTAAGCTGGCTTTCTTTGCTTTATGTTTACAAATCACCTATGAGTGAGTACATGTGATAATCATCTTTCTGTGTCTGGGTTACCTCACTCAAAATAATGTTTTCTAGCTCCATTCATTTTCCTGCAAAATTCAAGCTGTCGTTATTTTTTTCTGCTGTGTAATATTCCATTGTGTGAATGTCATCAGTGTTTTTGGTGTTACAGGTGTAAGATGGAATGTCAGAGTTGTTTTTATTTGCATTTCTCTGATGACTAAGAATGTTGAACATTTCCTTAAGTGTCTTTCAGCCATTTTAGATTCCTCTGTTGAGAGTTCTCTGTTTAGGTCTGTACTCCACTTGTATTTTTATTGAACTATGTGATCTTTTGGTGTCCAATTTCTTGAGTTCTTTGTATATTTTGGAGATCAGACCTCTATTTGGTGGAATCACATGTTTTATTTCTGTGGCTTATGTGTATAGCAATATCTGAAGAATAAATATGTGATGTTTCCTAAATATATTATTTTAGGAAAATATCAGTGATTAATGAAAGGCATTATATTTGCTTCATTTTACATAATTTTGTTTCTCTCAATTGATATGAGTTTAAGGAGCTTCAGAAATTGGCATTTATAAATTATATAGTTAAAAGTACTTCTTTGCTTATTGAACATAACCAGGCAGTTACTAAGAATTAATATTTCTATTGAGGTGTAAGACTTTAATTTTTCAATAATGTCATTATAGCATCCTTTGATAGATTAAAATGTTTTATTCTTAGTTCAGCTAAGTTCTATTTGAAGTTAGGAAATAAGCCAGAAATGGTGCCCCATGTTTGTAATCCCAGCACTAGAAGGCTGAGGCAAGAGGATCATTTAAGAATATGAGACCAGCCTAGACCACATAGTAAAACCATGACTGAAAACATCAAAAAGTAAATAAATAAATAAATAAATAAATAAATAAATAAATAACGATATATTAGTTTTTGGGGCGCTACCACCCAGTTCCAAATAAATCACACATGGAGGCTTATTCTTAGTTATGAATGCCTGGCCTCAACTCGGCTTGTTTCTTGTTGGCTTTTCTTAACTTAAATTATCCGAACTACCTTTTGCCTCTGGGTTTTTATCTTTCTCTATTTCTGTATACCTTTCTTTCCTTCACATTCTGTGACAGGCTGGGTGGCTGGCCCCTGATGTCCTCCTCTTCTTGTTCTCTTGGTTTTTCTTCGATTTATCCTCTCTGCCTGCCAGCCCTGCCTACCTTTGCTCCTGCCTCACTATTGGCCGTTGAGCTCTTTATTAGAATCATCAGGCAAAAAATCATAGCTTCACAGTTAATCAAATGCAGCATAAACAAAAGCAACACACCTTAAAATAATATTCCCCAACAAACTTTAAGCAAAGTTTAAAGACAAGTTATCTGTCTTCCTATAAGTGAGAGAAAAAGCACCCTGAACATCTTTGCAAATAAACTTATGGACTTCCTTTTATGTTGGTGGAGAAGGAATGCCTTATGAAATGGGCATGTATTCTAAATTAGCCTTAATAATTATACAATTAATTTTTAAATGCTTAGTCATTTATAGCATTTAACATGCATCTGAGTTGTTTGACGATTTTGTTAGATACAAACTGTCAAAGCTTCACACCTAGAATTTTTGGTTCAGTAGTTCTGTGATGGGTTCTGAATTTTTGTTTTTATGAAGTTTACATAATACAAAATGCTCTTGATCTAGAGGGACTATGCTTTGATAATCCTGTTTTACACTTTTATAGGTTATTGGACATTTCTATTAATGTATTCAATATGAAAACTAAGATCAAACCAAAAGTACTAAAGGCTTTCCAATGTTACCTAGAAGGTATTTTTTGATGCGTTAGTTTCCTCTCCTACAAAAGTGGGACATTCTGACTGATAACACTGACAAAGTGATTAACATGGAGTTTGATATCAGGGTGTTTATTGGGGCATAAATATGAAAGTTTTTAAAGTTTGATACTCAGTTTCTGACTGAAACATTTTGTTGTTGTTGCAGAGACATGACTCATTGTCCAGTGTGCCTAGTAGTTCTTCTTCCAGGAAAAATTCTCAGGGCAGTAACAGAAGCCTGGGTAAGGAATGCAGTATCTTATGTATACTGTTCAGCAGGTTATTTCTACTCAGTCATAGATTGACAGTGTTTAGTTGAATGAAGAAAAAAGTGTTCTATACATTTTACATGTTGGTTATTGAACCTAAGTTGACAGTATTATCACAAACTCAGATCAGATGAACCATGGCTTAGTGTTCAGGCAAGAATGAATATTTTTTAAGTAAGCTCTTACATATCTTTTATTTGTTTGATATATACATACACACTATATATATGTGTGTGTGTGTGTGTGTGTGTGTGTGTGTGTGTTTATTTGTTTGTTTAGGCAGGGTTTCTCTGTATAGCCTTAGCTGTCCTATAGACCAGGCTGGCCTCGAACTCATAGATACCTGCTTGCCTCTGCCTTCCAAGTGCTGGGACTAAAGGCATGCACCACCACCACCCAGTTTGTGTTTTAAAGTATATGGATTAAGGAGCTTTCAGAAGCACATAGACTTTATAAGTGCTATTTGCAAAAGTTTGCAGAGTTTTAACTAAATTCCTCACATTGTAATTTTGTTAAATTCCTAAACTATATGCATTCTTAGTGTATTTTATGTCTAGGACTTCACTAGAAGTGTGATTTTGTCTTACTACACTGGAAACTTAGAACAATAAAATGTATCAGCTTTTGCCAGGCATAGTGGCGCATGCCTTTAATCCCAATGCTTTAGAGGCAGAGGCAGGCAGCTCTCTGTGAGTTCAAGGCCAGCCTGGTGGTCTACATAGTGAGTTCCAGGATAGGCAAAGCTACATAGATCTTGTCTCCAAAACTCAATATATATAATATATTTGCATATGTATAATATATTGAATAATATATATATCTTTTAAAATTGGTACATATCAAAGCTTAATTGGATTAAAAAGATTGCATGGAATTTTTATTTTTTGTCCTTTATAATTCAGATACAATCACCCTATCAGGAGATGAAAGAGACTTGGGGAGATTGAATGTGAAATTGTTTTATAATTCGTCAGCAGAACAGATCTGGATCACAGTTTTGCAGGTAAATTAGTGTAGTTAATACCAATTTTTTATTATTAAATTGAATATTTATAACTATAAGTATCTAGTGTTGCTTCTTACTGGAGAAGGGATCAGTAACTATCTTTATAATTTAGGATTCTGTTGTATTTTGTAGAGTAGAGTGTTTAATAAAGCAGTTGACACTGAAACTGCTAGAAGAAAACAAGGAAAGCTTTAAGATATAGGCATAGGTAAGAACTATTAGATTAGAACTCTGATAGCACAGGAAATAATTCCAATTATTAACTCCAAAGATTAACAAGTGGACTTTCATAAGATTTAAAAGCTTCTGAACAGCAAAGGAAACTATCAACAGAATAAATGGACAACCTACAGATTGGGACAAAGTCTTTGCCAGCCATACTTTAGACTAGGAGTTAATATCTTGAATATATAAACAACTAAAAACTTTACATACCAAAACCCCAAACTTCCAGTCAATAAGTGAACTAAAGAATGGAACAGATAGCCCTTGAAAGAAGGAATACAAAAGGATCATAAATTCTTAAGTAATGTTCAGTATCCTCAGCCATCAGGGAAATGGCTGTCATCAAAAGCAAATGACAATGAATACTGGTGAGGATGTTGGTGAAAAGGAGTGTAAACTGCTGTAACCACCATGGAGATAATTGAGGAGAGGTCTCAGAACAAACAAAACAAAACAAAACAAAAAAACTGCCATAGGACTCACCTCTAGGACATCACCATAGGACTGCCATAGGACTCAGCTCTAGGACATCACCATAGGACTACCATAGGACTCAGCTCCTAGGACATACCCAAAGGACTATAAGTCTTACTAAAGATATACTTGTACATCCATGTTTATTGCTTTTCTATTCACAGTAGCAAGGAAATTAACTCAGCCTTGTTGTCTGTCAGCATATGAATTGATTGTGAAAATATGGCACATGTGGACAATGGAATTTTATTTTGCCATATAAATGAAATTTTGAAAATTTTAATAAAATTAATAGGTCTGGAAATTAACAAGTGAGATAAACAAGACTAGAAGACAAATACTTACATGTTCTCTTTCACGTGTGGGCCCTGCTTTCAACTTTTATATTTGTACTTATATGGACATAAGTTGGAAAATTAGAAAGAGGACCTTAAGGGGGGGGGTGTTTTTGGCTTCTTTTAAAATTATTTGTTACGGAAAAGAGTTTTTAAGGAAAGGGATTAGGGATGATAATGGAATACATGTTACTTGAAAGCCAGAAGAAGACAACTGGGTACAAATGAGAGGCATGGCAAGGAGAGGAACAGAGGAAGAATAATAGCTAAAACAAAATCTATATGAAAATGTCATGAAGGAAGCTAATAGGACTATAGAATAATGTTAAAATAGTAATATGGATAAAACATGAAAAAATAGTATCCTAAAGTTTATTTAAATTTTAATCAAAAATCATTAACTCAGTAGGGAATTGTGGCACACATCTTTAATCCCAGAACTCTGTAGACAGAGGTAGGTGGATCCTGGTCTACATAGTGAGTTCTAAAAACCAGGGCTTTGCAAATAGTCTCAAAAAAGTTATTAACTCAATAAATATGGAAATTTGTGTTGTCAAAGTTCTTTGTAAAAACATAAATTATGTTTTAATATATTTTTGTTTTTAGTGCAGAGATGTAATTTGGCCCTCTAGTTATGGAGATACTCCCACAATTTCTATAAAAGGAACTTTAACTTTCTCTAAACCAGTGCATTTCAGATCTTCAGCCAAAGAAGCTTCCAATGTAAGTAGGTGTTTGAATTTTTTTCATTTTTCTCATATTTTTTAATTATGTAAAATGTGAGAATAAGAAAGCGTTTTGTTTTGGAGAAGCTAAATAAAATCACTTGTAAATAAAATTTAGCTTCTCCAAAACACCCTTTATTTTAAAAGATAATTTTAAATACCAAGAGTTTTTGCTATTACATTGTCTGGTATTAAGCTGAATTTAAAAAGGAAACTGTAATTGCTAGAGTATGTAGAATAGGTAAGAAACTACTTTTCTTTTGGAAAGTAATTGCAGAATTGCAGTTAATCTTATTCCCCAAATCTTCCAATTATAATAAGTAGGAGGTTTATTATCTTGAGTCTTGTTTTACAGATTGTTTTCACATTAATTTATATACATGTCCATTATTGTCTTTTGATATGATTACAAAGTTAAGTTTTTACATGGAAGCAAAAAGATATTTTAAGATTCTTCATATTTAATTGTGTGTGTTGGTTTGTGTACTTAAGTGCAGTGAATCTTCTGGAGCTGGAATTAACAGGTGGCCGTAAGCCACCTGATGTGGGTGCTGAGACTTGAGCTCAGATCCACTCTAAAAACAATATGCATTCTTAACAACTAAGCCATCTCTCTAGCCTTGAAAAGATAACTTTTAAGAGAGCTTATCACCTTAAAATAATAGGATTAAAGTGTCTAAGGATACAAGAAAATTCATTTTAGTTATTAATAATAAAATACATATTGATATTTTTAATTAATATGATTAGGAAATATTTTATTGAATTTTTAAATTCAATATATTCTAATCATGCTTTCCCCCTTCCCCAGTTCCTCTCAGATCCTCTGAACCTACCCAATTCTGCACAGGATTTTTTTTTTAATTACTCTAAAACAGTGGTTCTTAATATGTGGGTTGTGATTCCTTAGGGTTGCACATAAGATATTTATATTGCAAATCATGACAGTAGCAAAATTACAGTTATAAACTACCAGCAAAATTTTATGGTTGGGCTCACCACAATATGAGGAACTATATTGAAGGATTGCAGCATTAGGAAGGTTGAGAACTATTGCTCTAAAACACACACTTAGCAAAGGTTAGAAAAAATTCTGTCATCAATCTTCATTTTCAAAATTTGTTTTTATACATCAAGTCGTTTGGGAGATCCCTGTTACTTGTACTGTGTAAGACTGTTAAATAGTTTATGTGCAATATTTTACTGGTATAGTTCTATAGCTTGGTAATTTAAAAGAAAAAGTGCTTGAGAGACTAGCAGGAACATAATTCTGTCTGATGTGGTATTAATTATTATAATGACAAAGTTTGGAGATAATATCCCTCATATTTGTTAGTTGGCTAGATATCTGACTTTTCAAAAAAGCTATACTAAAGATGTAAGGAAGGAAGTATATATCACAGAACAATCTAGTGTCCAGTCTCTTTTAAGGGGAGAATTGATGCGAACAGCATAGATTCTGGATGCTTAGTAAACTTGTATGTGCAATTCTTGAACTATTCTCGTTACCTTTTGAAAAATTGCAATGAATAGGAAGAAAGGTGTATTAGAAAACCAAGGTTGGGAAAACGGTCTAATTTGAAAAAAGGGAAAGTGATGTGGGATTCCCCTCTGTATGCTGTGAATGTGTTTTATTATCATTGGTTAATACAGAAGCTGCTTTGGGCCTATGGCAGCACAGAATAGGGCAAGGCAGAAATTCTAAGCAGAGATAGAGGAGAAAAGAAGGCAGGACCCGGGAGACACCATGTAACTGCCCTAAGGAGACAGATGCCTCGGAACCTTACTGGTAACGTGGTAAAATATGAAATAATAAAACTGGGTTAATTTAAGATATAGGAGATAGCTAAAAATATGCCTAAGCTATTGGCCAAGCAGTGTTGCAATTAATATAGTTTCTGTGTGATTATTTCAGGTCTGGGCAGCTGAGAAACAAAAGAGCAGCGTCTGCCTACAGGAAAGATGTATTCTGATGAGGTTGTTGTTAGCATTGATCTTAATTCCTAAGTAATTATAATATGTGAAGCTAAGGAAAATAGTAAAACAAGACCACATTTATTTTCATGTTTTAATGAAAAATATACTGTAAAAACAAATTCTAAATACCTTTCTTAGTCATAAAAACTTATTTTATCATGTCATATCAGCCTTTTTAGTATTTATATTTGTTTTCTTATTTTTTTTAAGGCTATTGAATTTATGGAAACTTTTGTATTTGCTATTAAACTACAAAGTCTACAAACTGTGAGGCTTGTATTTAAGATTCAAACCCAGACTCCCAGGAAGAAAACCATTGGAAAATGTTCTCTATCACTCAGAACTCTCAGTACACAGGAAATGGATTACTCGTTGGAAATAATACCACCTTCAAAAATTTCTGTAAGTGATAATAGTATCCAATACTAAACATAGTACACACCTTGAGAATGGTTTAACTTACTTGTTGGAGGTACTTTGAACAGTATAATATGTTGGAAGACCATGGGAACTCTGAAGAAGCAATATTACTTTAAACTATTTTATAAATAATTTATAAAACATTAACCATTTTCTTTCTTTATTTTCTTCAGAGTAACATGCTATCCTGTTTTAGTACATTTTTCATTAATGTTTTATACTGTAGGAGTAACATAGTAGCTGAGGACTCAGCAAAAATAAGTATAAATCATAAAATTCAAGTGCAATCTGAGATTGCAATAAAGTAGAATTAAGAAAATGGTTTTAACCATAGGTAAGCTGTATATCTGTTCACAAGTTGGTTAGAATGGAATTTGGTTGCCCCTGCCTCTGTTACTAGTGATGAAGTTCAGGACCTTACATGTTCTGCATGAGTTGCAACCCACCCCCATCACAGAATGAAAATTTGTTTTCATTTTAATGTGTTTTTGCTTTTACTCAAAAACTTTTTAATATTTATCTATTTTGGGAACAGGATATATGCTATGGCATGTGTATGAAGGTCAGAGGACAAGTTGTGGGAAATTGTTGTCTTCACTATGTAGTTCCTGGGGATCAAACTCTGATTGTCAAGCTAGGTAACAACCACCTTCAAATTTAGCCATCTCTTTGGACCAAGAATGGAAGTTTTTAAAATTATTAATAATTTTTGGTTGATATTGTATTATAGAAAAGGTGCTTGGTTGATTTTGAGACCTGATTATTTGCCTCTCTCAGTCAGTCAAACATTGTCATTAAAGTATTTAGAAATTTTTAATGATGTAACTATATAGCTTCTCTGTAGGGATAACATTTATATAAATTAGTCTTATTCTTTATAAGATAAATCTATTATGATTTTAAATTTATGTAAGATTTATATTTTACTTCTTTAAAAATATTTAAGATGCCAGGCGGTGGTGGTGCACGCCTTTAATCCCAGCACTCTGGAGGCAGAGGCTGGCAGATCTCTGTGAGTTCGAGGCCAGCCTGGTCTACAAGAGCTAGCTCCAGGACAGGCTCCAAAAGCTACAGAGAAACCCTGTCTCAAAAAACCAAAAAAAAAAAAAAAAAAAAGATGACTTGAAGTACTAATTAAAATAACCCTAGCTATGCATCGGTATCATTTGGGAACTTTAAAAGCACGTCCACACCTAAACCAATAAAATTAAATTTTCTTGGGGGTTAGGACAGAGACATTTGTAGTTTTCAATAGATTCCCAGTTGTGAATCTAATGTGTTGCGTGGCTTGAGAATCACCAAATTGGAAGGGAGAATAGAGATTAAAAAACAAAAGATTACTAAAGTCAGAGATTAAAATTTATTTCTGGTTATTTCTTGACTATATATTCAATTTCAGCAGCCAGTGTGAGTGCTCATAACTTTTGCTACAACATTTAAAACTTAAGTTACCTTTTTTGCTGTTAAAACACAGTAATTATGATAGTGGTTTGTAACTGGCATCATTTATAATAGCTTAGTAGAGAGTAATATGTAGTCATTATTTTACAGAAGATACAAATATCAAATGCACATTTCATATATTAAATGCTAAAGATATAGTATCAGTATGTCAAAAGATACTGAAGAAAATTGAGAAATTATTTTCTTTGAAGAATTTGAAGGAATGGTTATGGCTATATTCTATTTCTTAAAAAAACTTTATCATAAAATTAAAATAAAAAATATTACACATTGAAATTAAATTAAGTCTTTATACCAGTGAATGTTGTTATACAGTAAAAATTGCCTTTTGAAGCTGTGGAGCTTCTCCTTAGATTTTATATTTTCACTATCAAAGCACTAGACCAAAAAAAATCAAATGACTGAATTAGAACTAGAAAAACAATTATTGTTATTCATAACTTATGTCCATTACCTGTCTTTGTTCATCACCTAATATTTTGCTTTTCTTGTTCTCTTACCTACATATTATACTATACCCTCATATATGTGTTTGTTTACATATATTATTAGCCAGGTTATGCATATGAAGAAGACCATGAAATTATTTTCTTTCTGAGATTGTTGATCTTATTTAGTATTATACATTGTAACCTTATATATTTTCCTGCAAATTTTATCATTACATTTTTCTTTAGAGCTTAATGATATTCCATTTTCTACATATATGAAATTTTCATCATTCATCTGTTGGTAGACAACTAGGTTGATTCCATTTTTGTGATTTATTATATTTATTGACGTGTGTGTGTTGAACCATCTCAACATCTCTGGGATAAAGCCAACTTGGTTATGGTAGATAATCTTTTTGAAGTTTGTTTATATTCAGTTTACAAATATTTTACTGAGGAGTTTTGAGTCTGTGTTCATCAAGGCTATTGGACTCTCATTTTCTTTTGTTGTAGTATTATTACCTGACTTTGGTATTATGGTAATAGTGGTTTCATGGATCAAAATTAGAAGTACTCTTTTTTTTTTAAATTTTACTTTATTGATATTTATTGAGCTCTGCATTTTCTCTGCTCCCCTCCCCTCCCTGCCCACTTCAATCTTCCCCGCAAGGTCTCCATGCTCCCAATTTACTCAGGAGATCTTGTCTTTTTCTACTTTCTACTTCCCATGTAGAATATATTTATGTAAGTCTCTCTTCGAGTCCACATTGTTGTCTAAGTTCTCTGGGATTGTGACTTGTAGGCTGGCTTTCTTTGCTTTATGTTTAAAAAACCACCTATGAGTGAGTACATGTGATAATTGTCTTTCTCTGTCTGGGTTACCTCACTCAAAATAATGTTTTTCTAGCTCCATCCATTTTCCTGAAAAATTCAAGCTGCTGTTATTTTTTTCTGCTGTGTAGTACTCCATTGTGTAAATGTACCACATTTTTCTTATCCATTCTTTGGTCAAGGGGCATTTAGGTTGTTTCCAGGTTCTGGCTAAGACAAACAATGCTGCTACGAACATAGTTGAGCACATGTCCTTGTGGCACGATTGAGCATCCTTTGGATATATACCCAAAAGTGGTATTACTGGGTCTTGAGGAAGGTTGTTCCCTAATTTTCTGAGAAATTGCCACATTGACATCCAAAGGGGTTGTATCAGCTTGCATTCCCACCAGCAAGGCAGAAGTGTTCCCTTTTCCCCACAACCTCTCCAGCATAAGTTGTCATCAGCGTTTTTGATCTTGGCCATTGTTACAGGTGTAAGATGGAATCTCAGAGTTGATTTGATTTGCATTTCTCTGGTGACTAAGGATGTTGAACATTTCCTTAAGTGTCTTTCAGCCATTTAGATTCCTCTGTTGAGAGTTTTCTGTTTAGGTCTGTACTCCATTTTTTTTATTGGATTATGTGTTCTTTTGGTGACCAATTTCTTGAGTTCTTTGTATATTTTGGAGATCAGACCTCTGTCTGATGTGGGGTTAGCCAAGATCTTTTCCCATTCTGTAGGCTGCCATTTTGTCTTGTTGACTGTGTTCTTTGCTTTACAGAAGCTTTTCAGTTTCAGGAGGTCGCATTTATTAATTGTTTCTCTCAGTGTCTGTGCTGCTGGGGTTATATATAGGAAGTGATTCTCTGTGCCAGTGCGTTCAAGTGTACTTCTCACTTTCTCTTTTATAAGGTTCAGTGTGTCTGGCTTTATGTTTAGGTCTTTGATCCATTTGGACTTGAGTTTTGTGCATGGTGATAGATATGGGTGTATTTTCATTTTTCTACATGTTAATATCCAGTTATGCCAGCACCACTTGTTATATATGCTTTCTTTTTTTCCATTTAATATTTTTTGCTTTCTTTATCAAAGATCAGGTGTTCAAAGATGTGTGGATTGATATCCGGGTCTTCTATTCAGTTCCATTGGTCCTCCTGTCTGTTCTTATGCCAACTCTGTGTTCATTTCTTTGAAAAATTTAAGAAGGATTGGCAATAGATCTTCATTGAAAGTCTGGTAGAATTCTTCTATGAATCTATCTCAGACTGAATTTTTTTTTCTTTTGGAAATCTTTTTATTTCTACTAGAATCTTCTCATTTGTTGTAGGTTTGTTTAGGTTGTTGATCTTTTCTTGGTTTAGTTTTGGTGGTTTGAATGAATGAAGAAATTCATCTATTTCTTTTAGATTTTTCATCTTAATGGATAAAGGTTTTGTTTTAAAGTATTCCTTTATAACTTTCTGAATTTCCTTACTGTCTATTGTGATAGTTCCCTGTTCATTTCTGATTCTGTTAACTTGGATCATCTCTCTTTCTTTTGGTTAGTTTTATCAATGGTCTGTTAACTTTGTTTACTTTAAAAAAGAACCAGCTCTTAGATTTAATGATTATTTGTATTGTTTTCTTTGTTTCTATCTCATTAATTTCTGCTTTGATTTTTATTATTTCTTGCCATCTACTGAACTGAATTTGGGCTTGATTTGTTCTTCTTTCTCCAAATTTTTGAGTTGCGTCATTAAGTCATTAATTTTTGCTCCTTCTGATTTTGTAAGGCACTTAGAGCTGTAGGTTTCCTCTGTAGGACCACTCTAAATGTATCCCAGAGGTTTTGTGTAGTGTTTTCATTTAGTTTCAGGGATTTTTTTCTTTCTTGATTTTTTTTCTTTGTACCATTCATCATTCAGTAATGAGTTGTTTAATCTTCATGAATTTATGTATTTATTAGGGATTTCCTGTTAATTTTAAATTTTATTACATTGTGGTCGTAGAGTACATGAAATCATTGCTGATCAGAATGATTTGTTTTGTAATTTTTCTTGATGGACTTCTTGATCTTGATCATTAATCAAGTATTTATTATTTATTTGAGATCTCAAGTTTCTGTGCTCAGTACTGTAGATGAGACAGAATTTACCTGAAGAAATAACTGACCATTATAGAAATTTATGGCTCAGTTGTTGTTAAAGTACAAAATGTTCTTACCATGCTTAGGAGCATGTTCTTTTGTTATCCCTAGAAATAGTAGAAATAGTGAAACTTGTTTGAATTCATGGAGCTAGCAGTTGGTGAATAGGATTTGTTTTCAGAGCCAGCTCTTCGGGTTATACCTTATATTTATCATTTTCCCCCCACAAAAATATTCTCAAATACCACCAGATCGTGTTTTCTCTTGTGTTCTTTTACTTTTTTAGTTTTAGACAATTCTAGGAAGCTAATAAAGTTTTCTTTAAAAAAGTGATGCACTATTTATAAACAGATTTTCTATAATTTTGTGCTCATTAAATATTGTCAATGTATACCTGCTTATTGATTAGAATTTTAAATTTTGGGGTTTTATGAAAGTAGTTTTTCAAGATTTGAATTAATCTCCTATAATATAATTTGTATTTGTGTTAATAAATTTGGCAAGTAGAAGATGTCAAGTCCACTGCCAAGATCTGCGGTGTTTTAAGGGAGTGATTTCTGTAACAGTGTAACAACTCTAGGTATTCTCATTATAAGCATTTAATCATGAATATAAAACAATAATGAAAAAGAATTGATGAGATAATTTACCCACGGTTTCTTTTGTGTTTGGTAAACGGTTGTGTCTGTATCTTTGTTTTTTTTTTTCTTCCGTATAAGGGATTAAATTTAAGACCTAATCAATGGTAGACAAACTTTCTATATCCTCAACTATCCCCCTCCCTTTTTTAAAGATAGAGTTTTAGCAAGTTGTCACGGTTTGTATTGAACCGTGCCTTATCTTCCTCAGTGGCTGAGATTACAAGTCAACGTTACCAGTAACAACTGCTTTTTTTTTTTCTTTTTCTTTTTCTTTTTTTCCCCCAAGATAGGGTTTCTCTGTGTAACAGCCCTGGCTGTCCTGGAACTAGTTCAATAGACCAAGCTGGCCTCAAATTCACAGAGATCTGCCTGCTTCTGCCTCCCAAATGCTGGGATTAAAGGCGTGTGCTACCACCCAGTGTACTAATTTATTTTTTTTTTGAGTGGTTATTTTTTTTATTGAGAATAAGAAAAAAAAAGTTTCCGCCTCCTCCCATTTCCCTCCCCCTCCCCCCACTCTTCTCCCCCTCCCCCTACTCCTCTCCCCCTCCCTCTCTAATCCAAAGAGCAGTCATGGTTCCCTGCCCTGTGGAAAGTCCAAGGTCCTCCCCCCTCCGTCCATGTCTAGGAAGGTGAACATCCAAACTGGCTAGGCTCCCACCAAGCCGGGAGCTCACCAAGGCCAGCTGGACTGTGACTGAAAAAGAATGGGATAAAACCGGACTCTCTGATCATGGCGAACAATGAGGACTGATGAGAAGCCAAGGTCAATGGCAAGGGGTTCTGATCCTACTTTAGTGTACTAATTTAAATGCCGTGAGCAGAAACATTTGTTTTCAGATAGAATCCCACATATAGTCCAGAGTAGTCTCAAATTCACTGCCCTCCTACCTTCAAAGACACTTTTGTTTTAATCAGTAAAGGTTTTATTTTGTATATGATGTTTGAATTCTTGTTGAGTTATTGATCCATTCTCATTCTTAAATCTCAAGTACTAGATATGCTTATTTAAGTCATCATTTTTTGCTAAAATAAACACATTTTATCATCATAGTAAAACAGTGGTTCTCAACCTTCCTAAAGCTGTGACCTTTAATATAGTTCATCATGTGGTGACCCCCCAACCATAAAATTATTTTCATTGCTACTTCATAACTAGTTTGGCTACTGAGTGGTGTCCCGGTTCCTAAGTCCATTGGGAATATATGTTTTTTGATAGTTGTGATCCACAGGTTGAGAACTGCTATAGTAATTTTTTCTTTTTTCAAGACAGGGTTTCTCTGTAGCTTTGGAGCCTGTCCTGGAACTAGCTCTTATAGACCTGGCTGGCCTGGAACTCACATAGATTCTCCTGCCTCTGCCTCCCGAATGGTGGGATTAAAGGTGTGCACCACCACCGCTCAGCTGTAGTAAAATTTTTTAAGGGGGAAAATAACCTCAGTGTATATCTTAGGGTTTCTATTACTGTGAAGAGACACCATGACCATGCCGACCTTATAAAGGAAAACATTTAATTTGGGTGACTTACAGTTAAGAGGTTTAGTCTGTTATCATCATGGCAGGACATGCGCTGGAGAAGGAGCTGGAGAGTCCTGCATCTTAGTCTGCAGGCAACACAAAGTGAGCTGTGTCGCTGGTGTAGCTTGAACATAGGGGACCCAGGAGCCCACCCCCACAGTGAGGAACTTCCTCCAGTCAGGCCAAACCTACTCTAACAAAGCCACACCTCCTAATGCTCCACTCCCTTTGGGGACCATTTTCTTTCAGACCACCACAGTGTAGTTTATATTTTCTAGGCCATTTGTTTTCCAAAGAAGCTTTGAATTTCTTATTGCATGGTAATGTTAAAACATAGAATCATAAGCTTTCAATTTCTTATTAAAATAAAACCATGTTTTAAGAAAATACTAATACTTCAGTCAGTGGCATGTTCTTTTGTTTATTTTCAATGGGCCAATTATTGCAGAATATTTGGCAATTATCAAATACTATATAAAACTCTGAGAAGTGGTAACTTAATTGAATTTTATTCTGTAACTTTATCAGTACTGTATTTGTCTATGCTCAGCCCTGGCAAGATCTGCAATGCCATGTTCCTGCCTTATTCTCATTCTTACTGGTTTTAGATCTTTAGTAGTAATTGTTTTTTTTTGTATTTGGAAAGCTCTGTTTTTCACTTTAAGGACCTTAGAATAAATAAAAGTGGGCTGTCTTATGTTACATTTCATAAATAAATCACCAGTTTTTGTTTTGTTTTTGCTTTTGGTCAGCAATAATGTAGAGTATATTTTCTTTTCTTTCTAAAGTTAGAAAAAAATTATCTTCTGTTACTTTAAAAATCATATTTCAGCTTAGCACTCAGGAGGCAGAGGTAGGCAGATCTCTGAACTTGAGGCCAGCCTGGTCTACAGAGCAAGATAGTCACAGCTACACCGGGAAACTCATAAAACCAAAACCAACCAAACAGAAAAATCTCTATTTCATGTTTTAAAATAATGTAGTTAGAATATTTTTATTTCTTTTGAAGATGTGTTCTTTTAGGTTAAGCGGTTTCTCCAATAATGCTTAGAAACTTAGCATTTTAGGTTTTAGTCAGATTATCTTTTGATATCAGTAGCTTTGAAGTTCAGTATATAGATAACACCTTATATTTTCAGATTCCATGCAAGTGAATATATTTTTGGAATCCATGATATTTATCTTCAAAATCTCTCATAACTTGTGGTTTATAGTATCAGTAAAAAATAATACTTAAAAAAATTTCACTCTAGCTTTTTATGTTAGAAGTTTTGAAATATCTCTAAACTCTATTTTGAACTGCTAAATGACATTTTTTTTTTCATATATAGGTTTGCCATTCAGAACTTGAACTGGGGACTTGTTTTCAAGCAGTAAATAGCAGGATTCAGCTGCAAATTCTTGAGGCACAATACCTCCCAAGCTCATCAACACCTCTGACTTTGAGTAAGTGGTTCAAAGTTCATCCAGTGTGAAAAGGTTTCAGTGGGTAAGAATCCAAGAGACCAGTATGCCTTGAGGACTGTGCCCTTCTATGGATAAACAGCTAGGGACTATGATATGTTGATGAGCTGTGCTTAGTTTACCTGGCCACCTTTGGAGCTGAAGATTTGAGATCAACCCTACTTCAGTTAGATTGAAAGGGAATTATTTAGGCAAGTAAAAGTACTTTAACTAAAAAAAAAAAATTAAAAATATATACAGCTGAGCATTCAATTCAAGAAGTCGGGAAAATAACAAGTAGGAAAGCTGGAGTTGATAAATACAAGTTAATAATTGACAAAAAACCAAATGCTTTTTTTCTTTAAAAGGACCATTAAAATAGGAAAATTTGTAAGAAGATGGATAAAGCAAAGTAGAGAAGATATGATTGCTATTCTGAACAGTGAAGATAATATAATTTTAAATTCAGAAGAATTTTCTAAGTCAGAAGAGAATTAATAATACATAAGACAATTCCATGTACTAGCTATACTAATTCATTTGCACATACAGAAAGTAAATGAGTTTCTTAAAAACTCATTAAAGAACAGGAAGAATCTGAAAAGAATAACTATGGAAAAAGTGAAGAATTCCTTGCAAAAAGTACTAAGTAGGGCTTGGGAGATGGCTCAGTTGGGAAAGTGCCTTTTATTTAACATTAGGACCTGAGTTCTGATCCCTATGACCCATACAAAAATCTGGGGTGATCATGTATGCTTGTAACCTTGAGGGGGTGGAGAGGAGTTTGCTGGACAGCTTGTCTAGCCAGTCAGTGAATGCCAGATTCAGTGAGAGACTCTGTCTCAAAAGATAAGACACATAATGACTGAGGAAGAGGATACCCAGTGTTTACTTCTGGCCTCTACATGCATCTATACGCACACCTACATATATATAATTTACATACAAAAATAAGGTATTGTTCTTGTTTTTTTGTTTCTTTTTGTTGTTGTTGTTATTGTTAACTTGACACAAGAGAGACTTTTCAATTGTTAAGAATTCCTCATTAAGATTTGTTTATAATCAGTCAAGCCTGTGGGGAATTTTTTTAATTAGTGATTGATGTGGGAGGGAGAACCTAGCTTACTGTGGTAAGTGCCATCTCTGGACAGGTAGCCCTGGAGCAGTTGTTCTTAACCTTCCCAATGTTGTAACCCTTAATACAGTTCCTCATGCAGTTACCCCCACAAGATTATTTTTGTTGCTACTTCATAACTCTAATTTCACTACTGTTGTGAATTGGAATGTCATTATTTTTTTTACATAGAGATTTACCAAAGGGGTCTGACCCAGAAGTTGAGAACTGCTTTGGTGCTGTGTATAAGAAAGCGGGCTGAGCAAGCCATGGGGAACAAGTCAGTAAGCAGTACTCTTCCATGGCCTCTGCTTCAGTTCCTGCTTCCAGGTTCCTGCCTTTAGGTTTCTGTCTTGACTCTCCTTAGTGATAGGATATGATCTGAGAGTTGTAAGCTGGAACCAACATTTTCCTCACCTGGTTGCTTTGGTCATGGAGTTTTATCACAGCAAAAGAAACCCTAGCAAGACAGATAACATTTTAGTGCTTCATAGCACTAAGGTCTACTAAACCATTGAAGAACATGTAATTCCTGTTCAACATAAGTTATTCTGAAGCATGGAAAAAATAATTTTATGATATTAGTGTACTCTTGATAGTAAAATAGAATGAATAGCTCATTGAAAATAACTATAAATTATTACTAGATGGAGAATTATAAAAGTAAACAAAATCAAAGTTAGAAAAGTAAGTCATCAAGATTACTTCTAGTTAATTCTTTTTTATTAATTAATCGATTATTTTTTCCAGCTCGATCAGTTTCCCCTTATTCCTTCCTCTCCTCCCAGTTCATCTCCCATCCTTTCCTCTTTCCCCCATTCCCTCCTTCTCTTTTCCCTTCAGAAAAAGGGCAGTCCTCCCATGTGTGCCACCAACCAGCCATGGCACATCAAGTTAGGTGTGATTAGGCACCTTCTCTCCTATTAAGACTGGATGAAGCAACCCAATAGGAGGAAGGGGTCCCCAAAACAGGTAACAATCAGAGACAGCTTCTGCTTCCACTGTTTGGAGTCCTACAAGAAGACCAAGCTACACAACTGTATCATATGTGCAGAGGGCCTAGATCAGTCCCCTCTAAACTTTCTTTCTGGTTGGCGGTGCAGTCCATGTGTGTCCCTATGAACCCAAGTTAGTTGATTCTGTGGGTTTTCTTGTGATTTCCTTGACACCCTTCTCCCCCAATCCCATAATCCTTCCTCTCCCTCTTCCACAGGATTCCCTGAGATCTGCTTAATGTTTGGCTATGGGTCCCTGAATCTGTTCCCATTAGTTGCTGGGTGAAGCCTCTCTGATGACAATTGGACTGGGCAATGATCTATGAGTATAGCAGAATGTCATTAGGAATCATTTCAGTGACTTTTTATTCTCTAGTCATATTTGGTTCTATCCTAAGTTCTGGGCTATCCAGCCTCTGGATTCTGCCCCCCTCCAGGCAGTGTCAGGGATGGGCTCCTTCTCTTAATTTTGTGAAACAGAAACAATAGTAGGAGTCTATACAGATATATTATATAAATGGATCACTTCATTTAAGCAAAACTACTACCAAGGATTGCTAATGATTGCCATTTTGTAACCTAATAGATCTCATTCCTCATCCCGTGACTCTGCCTTTCTGGCAGTTCCCTCTTGCCTTTCTTGCTACCTTTTAGCCCCAGTTATACTAACTGACTCCTTACAGTAGCCAGACAGCACTTGATGTTAAGTTGTAGTCATTTTGTATTGTTGTGGTCCAAGGCTCTGAATCAACCCAAGCAGACACAAGAGGTTACTGCAAGGCGAGAGTTAATGCAGGGCAGCACTAAAGAAGCGGGGAAGGGGAGGGGACTGATCGATCAGGGTCACAGAGCAGACTCAGGAGCTGAACTATGACCCTAGATGTCAATGAAGCAAATATTTAAGCACAAAATTTACAAATATTTGTTGCCAAATTACAGTTATAATTTTCACCAGTCAGGATTTAGAGATTAGGGGCTTCTTTGAATGTTAGTTCCATCTTTGTCAACCTATCTATAATGCAAGCCTTTTGGTCCAACCAGATTCATTTGTTCTTTAGGAACAGCCACAATGTTTCTAGGGAACTGAAAATGCATAATGACTATTTCTATGGTTTAGGGAGCAGGTGGGCCAGCTACTAGAAGTTTCCCAATTCTCCTAGAGCTTGGGAACCTGAACTTTAGTTCACTCTTATAAGTAAACTGGAGTCTAAAGTCAAAACTGCAGTACTCAGACCAGGTGCTTTTTGCCTATTCCCAACAGTATCACATTAAAAAGTATGCTTAGGTGTAAAGATACATTACCCATACCTTTATCTGGGCAGTTCCCAAGTTGATATTCCTGCTCCAACTTCTTTAGTACCCTATTCTACATTTTGGCTTAGAAAACAGAAGTTTATTTTCTCAGTTCTCTAGAGATTGAACAATCCAATATTAAGCACCAGCAGAGTTGGTTTTGGAGGATTTTTTACTTTTTTCCCCTAGAGTTTATAATTGTTATATTTTGTTATAGTTTATACAAACTATTTTATCATTGTTGGAAGTGCTAGCTCTCAAATTTACTTAAGAATATTGTTTTACAATCTAGCCTGTTTGGGTCTTAAAGGTCCAGGTGTAATGCAACAATGTGTTTTCAGTATCTGTTAGCTGCATGATTAAATTTCCAGGTTTTTTAATAAACAATCTCTTTACAAAAAAAGAATATTGTTTTATTCTAGTTCTAGCACACATATATTTTTGGCATCACAAGCAAAGAAATTTACCTATGAAATTGTGAAATTAATACCTCTAGTTGTCCAGAGAATTGCCACCTTTTTTGCTGTAATTCATTTCAGTGTGTTTTCCTGTGCTGATGATTGTTATTCTGGTTGACATTATTCAGAATAGAGGAATGTTAAGTTCATTTAAGGCCACAGTAGTTATTTGTAGAGTGTGGTAAATGTTCTATTTGTTCTCTTGTCAAACAATAACCCAGAAGACCTTTAAAACTGATTATTTATATTTTTATAACCTATATAGATAAAAACTTTAGTATTTCACAAGAAAGTTTATAAACTATAGTTTCTTGTTTCATAGGTTTTTTTGTGAAGGTGGGGATGTTTAGCTCAGGAGAGCTGATCTATAAAAAGAAGACACGCTTACTGAAGGCATCCAGTGGAAGAGTAAAGTGGGGAGAAACTATGATTTTTCCACTTACACAGACTGAAAAAGAAATTGTTTTCCTCGTTAAACTTTACAGTCGAAGCTCTGTAAGAAGAAAACAGTTTGTAGGCCAGGTGAGTAGCGCTGTCCTGGATTTCTTCATGGTGCATCATTGTTGTTACTATGTAGTTAATTAGCAAAGGAAGGAGGATAAAGTTAAGAGTGAATACAGGAGGATTCTTCAAACTTTAAAATTCAGTGTTGCTTTAGTATCAAATTTTGTCAGATGTTTTGCTTTAATGCGAATAGATAACATTTCTGAGCAGCTAGGCTTCGTTTTTAACCTACTGAACTTTCAGCTTTAAAATATATAAAATCAGTAGAAGAGAAAATATGTCTAAGCAGAGTTTTTCATTGGGACCGCAATTAGCTCTGTTCCACCAGCCACTTTCTAAATGACCACTCAGAGACTGTCTGTTAATTTTAAATGCTCAGCAGATAGCTTGGGTTTTTTTTTATCTAGCTCTTATAACTTAAATTAACCAATTTCTATTAATCCATATGTCACTATGTGACTCATGGCTGTTACTTCATCTTGTACACCTCCTGCTCCCTCTACATCTGGCTGGCCACTCCTCTGACTCCACCCTTCTCAGTGTTGTTAGTCTGGGTTTCCCACCTAGCCTTGTCCTTTCCAGCCATTGGCCAGTCAGCTTCTTTATTAAACCAATCATAGCATAATTTATGAAGTGTACGGAAGATTTTGAGTATCACATTTATTTTATTGTTTCATCTTTTATTTTGTATTTAAAATGAGCCTTTTATATATTTTATTAACTTTGCTATGATAGATTTGAATTTTTAGAAAATAACAATTTTTTAACAATGTGATAATATTTAGGGAGCAAATGTTGCTGTCTTGATTAATTAATTAAAAATTAATTTGTATAGGGCTGTATAACAATTACCTTACTTATCAAGTCTATAGATTTTTTTTTTACATTTTCTTTCATTGTTGTCAATCCTATAGAATTTTTTTTCATTTTCTTTCCTTATTAGGATTTGTGGCAGCTATTAGTTCTCTATTCATATTAATTACAACTGTTTGTGTGACATTTAAATCTTGAAGTCTTTAACTGATGTAAAATTTTCACTTCACAAAAAACTTATTAACAGTCTTCAGATTGTGTATATGAATTTTCAAAGATTGGTATCAACTCTCATTTCATATAATTAGACTGCCAATTTAAAATGTTGCAGCTTGCTGTAATCTTATTTGGAAAGGAGTTTTAACTAAAGAATTAATATATAATTTAATTTGAGAGGTAATTAGCAGGATAATGAATTTGGAAATTCTTTAGTTGCCTCAGGTGTCAGTCACCATGAGGGAATCATATGTGGGCTCAAGTTCTTCCACTTTATCAATCGAAATACTCTGTTGTCTGTGTTATGTATTGGGGTCTCTGTAAGATGTTGTTTGAAGGAAAGTTCTTTTAGGCCAAGGTAGAAAAAGAATTGAAAACCAGTACTTACTCAAATCTCTTAGAAGAATTAGAAACTGGGTCTCAGGTAAGTTAATTCCAAGGTTACAGTATTTGTTAGCATTATAGCCAAGATAAAGATTCAGTTTTTTAAAATTGTACATCCACCTATTTCCATGTTATATACTCATTTCAATGTCTTATGTTTGTACAATACTACAGTTTCCCCAGATCATTTGCATGTATTTTCTGTAGTTTGTAAATGATAAAATAATGAAATTATTATGTATTAAGAATGACTTTTTATTAGATTTTAGTTAAGATTATAGTTTCATGTCATGTACAAGGTGCTTAAGTGCACATTCCTTTCTAGGTTAGAATCATTGTTTGCCTCAATTTAGAAATCATGGCAAAATTTTTTTTGAGTAATTAGGATCAATTTTAGTTGAGCTACTAGATAGAGCAAGAAAGAATATTCAAAAGGTAATGTTTTAAATAATATTTCATTTTTACAGTTTTAATTTTTAAACTGAATTGGATTACATAATCCAGAATGATTCAGCAGGTTAAATATTTTAACATTTAAGGATCAATCAAATCATCAAGCAACTTTTGAAAAATTGGAATGATACTTATTTAGAAATATGTTATCCAAACTTGCCCATATCTTAACAATAAGAGTAATTGCTTCAATTTAGTTAATAATATTATGTCAAGTTGAATGATTGTACTGTTCCTTTACAGCTCTGGATAAGTGAAGACAGTAATGATATTGAAGCGGTGAGCCAATGGAAAGAAACAATTGCAAATCCAGAAAAGGTTGTTATCAAGTGGCACAAGTTAAATCCATCATGAAGACTTCAGGCATTAATTTAGTGAAGAAACAACTTTACAGTCTTTTAGAAGAAACATAATTTTAGTTTTCTAAAGCTTGTAATGCATTCTATCAGTTATACAAAGTGAACAAAATGTTTTAAAATAGTACCAAAACAGAAGTTAAAATAAAGGGTTGTATTATTAGGCCAACTAAATAGATTATAAAATCTATGAAAATATCATTCCTAGATAGGTTTTTCTATATAGCTTTTGCTTTTTTTTTGCTTTTTTTGTGCTTTAAAAACTTTTAATTTTGAATACTGAAAACTTATTTTTCAAGTAAACAAATCCAAATCTTTGAGCCTCTAAAGTAAACATAGAAAAAAAGTAAGAAACAACTGAGCAAGCAACTGCAATCCTTCAGCATTTCACAGGGTGAATTTAACAGAGCTGTATCTTCCTAGTAGCAAGGATGCAGAACTACACACATGGTCATAACCTTTTGTCATCTTGTACTATTGGACTTCAAAACCTAGCACACTAATCCCTCTTAGTACTATTAGGTATTTACAGGACTTTGCCACTTTTCCTGTGGTAGGAATGATTGATTAGATCTTGGTTATATGGGTTATATCCTCATATGTACTTTTTCGAGCAAAAATGAGTAAAACCATTTTATATTTTATTTTGTACTTGAGGAAAGGTGATACCTTGTGCTTACAATTTCTTATCTATAAATGCATGATGACCTTTTTTTATAAGCTGCTTATCTGTAGGAGAATTAGAGAATTATCAACATTTTTCCAAGAATAAGTAAGCGTGGAGCTAGCAGGATGGCGCAGTGGGTAAAGGAGCTTGTCACTACACTGACAGTTGAGTTCCTCCATTTCTGGAATGCAAAGTGATAGAAGGAGAGAAGGGTGAACCCTTCAGTTTGCTCTCTGAAATCCACATGTAAACCATGGTGCATACATGTATTTGCACGCGTGCACGCACGCGCGCGTGCGCACACACACACACACTCTCTCTCTCAATAAAAAAGAATAAATGAAGTTTATTTGAAGTCCAAAATATGTACATTTTGCTGTCTTCCTCATTCTTATCCTTTATTTTATTTGGTGTAAAAACAAAATATTTTATATTTGGACCAACTTAATTTAGCAAAAGTAAATGAGCTTAAATAGTAAATTCAGTAGTTTTGATCATAAGTTCTTTGTTTTAGTTTTTTTTTGGTTTTTCGAGACAGGGTTTCTCTGTAGCTTTGGAGCCTGTCCTGGAACTAGCTCTGTAGACCAGGCTGGTCCCGAACTCACAGAGATCCGCCTGTCTCTGCCTCCCGAGTGCTGGGATTAAAGGCGTGCGCCACCATCGCCCGCTTGTTTTAGTTTTTGATGTAAGTTACTTGTTCTGTAATCTACAATGTTAAAGTATTTTCCAATTTTTAATAACCATACATGATAAAAATTTATAGAATGTATATATTTTTCTACTCCAGGTTTTGTTTAGGTACGTATTACAATTTAGCCTATGGATATTATTCCTGCTTGGATGGCCATAAGAGTTGTGGCTAAGACAATACAGTTTTTAGGAAGAAGCAGGCAACAGTACCTAATATTATAAAGTGACTTTATTTTTGCTAATAAATAAATAATGAGATCTGTATTCCTGATCCTCCTCTCTCCCTCCCTCTTGACCAATCTGCCTGCTTGCCTCTCTCTTTCTTTGTATCACACAATTTAGATCAGAGAAATATTTTGTTATAATGTAGGAGTAACCTTTTTAATTCTAGTTCTTTATTGTCTAGATATTTAATTAGGACCTAAACTGAACTGTTACCTAGATATCTTCTCAAGCTACAAATATATGTAGTTTATATTCTCCTTGCTTCTGTTGCCTAGATTTTATGATACCAGTGGTATTTACCAGAGTTCTTTGCCATTGTGAATTTTGAAAAATATTTTTAGACTTAAGAAAAGTGGAGTACTAGTGAGTACTCCCTTGGCCTTTTAGGAAAAACATCCTTTGTGATAGTGATAGTAGTTTGTAAATTGAGACTTAAACTTTCTTTAACTTTACTTTGTTTAATAGATTTTACTTTTAAAGTTGGCACATACATTTTCTACATGTAATCTGTTGTCAGCACAGGCACCACCTTCTGCACTTTGAACACCCTACACCCAAATAGGGCATTTGTCAGAATTGGCCAACCTACACCAACATATCATAGGCTTGCTATTTTTAAAATCTAGAATTTTATTTTGAGCCTTTTTTGTGTTCTCTGACTTTTAATTACTAAATTTGATACATGCCATTGATTTAATTCAATTTTAATGATCCAATTAATAGTTAAGCATATGCATATTATAAAATTTGAGGAAAAGATATGCTTTCTTGGTTTCCCAGTCTCCTAGATAGCCTAGATCAATCAATACAAAGAAAATTGTATTTAAAAGAACTATCAGGGAGGGGGACTTGACTGGAGGAGGGGGAGGGAAATGGGAGGCGGTGGTGGGGAGGAGGCAGAATTCTTTAATAAATAATTAATAAAAAAAAGAACTTTCAGGTGAAAAAGTATTGATAGGTGAAGGTTTCTGATGTTTCAATCAGTCTTTACTGAAGCATTTTTCAACTGAAGATGTACTGGATGTAAATGTGTATGCTCATTGTGTTCTTGAAATTTTATGTGAAATGTAAGAAAAAAATAAGAACCAGTAATAAAAACTGAAATATTATACAAAAATCATTTTTCTTTGTGTTGATTTGGGCTTTTCTTGACCTTTATTTGTAACAAAGAAAAAAAGAACCTAAATGATGCTGGGAGACCAAATGGGAACCAAGGAAACTTCATTACTGGGGAGATTAGTCATTTATAAACTATGACATTTATAAAATGTATTTATAAACTCTCAGATAACATAAAAAGTTACAGCCCATGTCAACACTATTTGGGATTGGTTTAATTTTACACGATGCTATTCTCTTTACAATGGTTCTTTTTTTTTCTTTTTTCTTCTTCTTTTAATTACTTGACATACTTGTTTGCTTCCCAGCTTGTACATATGTCCTTAATTTCTTGATATAATAAACACATTTCAATTCAAATAGCAACTTTGATTGCTATGCAGAACAGAAGTAATTGGTTCTGCAATTTACTTACTCAGTTGCATACAAGCAACATGCTATATATGAAAATATATTTGAAAAAAGTTACTGGCTGAATTACAGGTATTAAATACTAAGCATTCAAACAGTTACTGGATGAATTACAGGTACCAAATACTAAGCAATTTAACAACTTATGATTTATTCTGTTTAACCATCTAGGAAGTTTGAAGCCATCATCAGTCCAGTGATAATTTCAAGTGCAATTGAGAATTCAGAAATTTCGATGGAGCTCTTAGTGTAGCAGATCTTGTAGGTAAAATATATGCAACTTTTAGTAGCTCATGTGAAGGACTCTTTCTAAAATTGACTTCCTTGATTTAATTCTCAGCAAACTAACATGACCTTTATTTTTTATGGTATTAGTCCATGTTCTATATTTATAATGAATTTATGACCACCTGAAGGTATTAATTTGATATACATGGCCTTCACAGCCACCATAGGATTTTTACTCCATCTATTATATTATTATAAAATATTACTTTGATCCCATAGAAACTTTGCTGGTTTCCCGTATATGTTCTGGAGCACTGGAAGGAATAAGTTCTGCCAGATTACATCTGCTTTCTGCAACAGGAGGGAGATTACTCAACAGTGTATTTATAAAATCCCAGATAACAAAGAAAGTTACAGCCCATGTGAAATCATTGTTTGTCATTTATTTAGTTTTACCCAATTTTTAAAGCAGAAATCATACAAATGACTTGTGTATTAATGTCAGCTCTTCCCAGACAATTGAGAAGAAATCACTGGGATTTCTGGACCTATGTAATTATGGTTTAAAAATAAACTAACCTGAAATTTTCTTTGAATATAGTTTTGCAAATTTCTTTGATAATAATAAACTCATCAGCCAGTTGGAAACCATTTCTAGCAAAAAATTTTCATTGTTTATGTGTTCATATATTTGCACATGTATGAAATATTTCAGAAACTTGGAATAAATTCAAACTTTTCTTATCATGGTAGAAATGGATATTTCAGATGCCTCTCTATTCAGTGTTTGGAACTTTAGTGTTTCTTCAGAGCATTTCAAAAAAAAAGAACCAATAAAATGTTTATGTCTGTGATGACTAGGATGAGGCTTTTTAAATTTTCTCTTCCTTCAGAACCTGTTTTAATCAAATGCTTTCAGTTTTAGGTGAAACATTGAGTTAAAAGAATTTTGAACTAAGAAATATCTGGTCTATTTATATAGATTTATAAATAAGTCATATAGATTTATGATTTTAAAGATACTAAAAGAATTATTAGAGTCCTCCAAACCTAGATTTTATATTGTTATGGACAGAGGTATGTGCTGTCTAGTTTTAGTGATTTCCTAGTACATTATTTTCTTGGTCATCATTTTTTAATATTGTTATCTATTAAAAAATCTGATCCTTAATACAAATGGTGATAGTCAATGTTTCCATTAAATCAATAGGACCTTGGTAAAGGCAGTAGATAACCTGGAACAAAGTTTCTTCATGCTTTCTTAGATGGCAAAGAGGCAACTAATCCATGCTACACCAAATAAGGTATTCTTTTAAATGGTATTGATTTTAATATTCTTATGTCATGGGATTTTAAGGTCATCATTCTTTAGTTTTTTGAGGCTGGAAGATAATTTCTTTTAAAAAAAATCTTATGATATAATGATTTAGCAAAAGTAAGTTTGATTGTGGTGCTAAGTTGGCTTTCAGTTTAATTTCTTGGTTTTTCAAATGCCTTGATTATATTATGCATGAAGTTTTGATCATGAAATAACTAAAATTATAAATGAATCATCATATATGCTTAGATATAATAAACCATCATTGTTTATACTGAGATTTTTATATTTTATATATTTGTGAAATAAAACCATAAATATCAGGATTATAGTAAAAATTACTGGAGGTATAAATAAAGTGCTTTGGAAAGTCTAAAGGAAGAATTAAATGTAAATAAATGAAGTAGGAAAGGCTTGGTTGATCTCTTGCCCAACATGTACATATCCAAGTAACCTGGTAGCACTAACTCATCATTACTGATTCTCCCATCTGGAAATCTTGATTTCTTTTGTCAACTGACTCACTGAAAAGCAATTATACTTCCACTTGTTTCAATCTTTAACATACCTCTCCTTTTATTACTTAGTCCGTATTGTTTCCAGATTGCAAAGGAAACATGGTTAGATTCCTTCCACTACCTGCTTCCATATCTGCAAGTTTATTTTTGTCCATATCTATTCTTCTCACCTCATGTTGGAAAGCCAGACAATGTAAATTCTGAATTCCTTTCAGCTTTTTCTAGGCTCACATTCTATTTATTAGGCCCAGGTCTCTCTATTCATTGTGTCTCTACTGTTGGATTCCATGAACTGTATAGGCATAATTATGTAGTTTAGATTTCAATATGAGCAAAGGAACCTATGAAAACTGCAGTGGAAGGAATATCCCAATTCTTTTTTTTTTTTTTTTTTTGGTTTTTCGAGACAGGGTTTCTCTGTGGCTTTGGAGCCTGTCCTAGAACTAGCTCGGTAGACCAGGTTGGTCTCGAACTCACAGAGATCTGCCTGGCTCTGCCTCCCGAGTGCTGGGATTAAAGGCGTGCGCCACCATCACCCGGCCCAATTCTTTTATTGAAAATCCAACTCCTATAAGATGGACAATGTGTGGAAAGTGGTCCTTTGGGAAGTGCTTAGTTGTTTTTTTTTATTTTTATCACTAATCCCTCATGGATGGGATTAGTATTTTTAGTTATCTATTTCCTTGCTTTCTGGGGTTCATGAGAAACCAGGCACTAGGGATTATTTTTAAAACTTATTTTACATACCAATCCCAGTAACCTTTCCCTTTCCGTCCACCCACTACCCCCCACCTTCTCTCCAACCCACCCCCATCCACTCCTCAGAGGGGGTCAGGCCTCCTATGGGAAGTCAACAAAGTCTGCCACATCTGCCACAAGGATGACTCCAGCTAAGAGTCTAAACAGTAGCGGAGAGGGTACCTTAACTGCCCTTCTACTGTAAACAGATTCATGACTTTCTTGTCATCATAGAACTTCATCCAGTAACTGATGGAAACAGATACAGAGATCCACAACTAAGCACTGGGTGCTCCTGGAGTCCAATCATAGAGAGAGAGAGGAGTGATATGAGCAAAGGGGCCAAGACCATGATGACCATGATGACCATGACAGAAAGAGCTGACTCTAGCTAGTGAGAGCTCACTTAACTCTGGACTGACAGCTGGAAAACCTGCATAAGACCAAACTAGGCCCTCTGAATATGGGTGACAGTTGTGTAACTTGGGCAATTTGTGGGGCAACTAGCAGTGGAACAGGATCTATCCAAAGTGCGTGAACTGACTTTTTGGAGCCTATTCCCTATGGAGGGATATCTTGCTCAATCTAGATAAAGTAGGAAGGGCCTTGGTCCTGCCTCAAGTGATGTGGCAGACTTTGTTGACTTCTCATGGGAGGCCTGATCCCCACTTTGAGGAGTAGATGGGGGTGGGTTGGAGAGAAGGTGGGGGGCAGTGAGTGGACGGGAAGGGAAAGGTTGCTGGGATTGGTATGTAAAATAAGTTTGTTTTAAAAATAAAAAAGGTGACCTCTGCCAGTCCAGGCTTGAGTCTGGGACCTCCAAGGCAGTAGGCCTGAGCCAGAGAGACCTTTGTGGGACAGGGCCCAAGACAGGAACCTCTGTGGAGTGGGCCCAGGCCAGGGACATCTACAGAACATGCCATTCAAACATAAAAGAATATACCTTCTCAGCACCTCATGAAATCTCACAATTGACCACATACTAGGTAACAAAGCAAACCTCAATAGATAAAAGAAATTGGAATAACCTCATGTACCTTATTGGATCACCATGGCTTTTAGAATTCAGCAGTGACACTAATTTCAGAAAGCCCACAAGCACATGGAAACTCAACAGTGCTCACCTGAAACATCAGTGGGCCAAAGAAGAAATA